CGATTGTGAGATCGATCGAGTGAGATCGATCGATCGAGACCGGTAGTGAGATCGATAGTGATATCGATAGTGAGACCGGTCGAGTGAGACATTGGTTCCCCCCCCCTTCCGAACCTCCTTATCTTCCGAAGGGTGGTCGTACAGGTATAAGCAGAGGGGTCTTGCCGCGCAAAGGGCGGGGCCTCCCGCGTCTGGCGGCGCTGCCCCTTTCCGCCGCTGCTCCCGCCGCGCCCGCGATGTCAGAATCCATCGAGTCGCGCGCTCAGCGGGTCGTCGCAGATGCAGGTCGAGGCGCGGGGGGGGGCTGGAGGCCCCTCCAGCGAGCTGCCAGGTCATTCGCATGATCGAGGGCTCGCGCCAGCCAGGATCCAGAGCGTCTTCTGGAAACTCGCGCGCGGTAGCTGCTCCTCGCATGATGTTTAGCCCGTGGGCGCTCGTCGCTCCGCTTGGACTGCGGGGGTCGGTCCGTGAACTCCCTCGCCGCGGGTCTCCCGCGCGAGGGTTCTGGCGCGCCGAATTTCTGGCCCCGCGGGCTTCAATTGCGCATGGGCGCACCCCTTTCGCCCCGGGGCTCCCTGAACAGGAGCCCCTAGCCTTCTGAATTGAACGCATCAGTTTCACTTCCTGGTCATCGTTCAAGCTGCGGTTGCCCCAGCCGACGGCCGCGGTCGCGCTGCTGCAGGAACGCCGTCTAGTCTCGGGCGGCGCGATGACATCAGGCGCGCAGCGCGTTGGACGTTCGCGGTAGAATGCGCGCCTCGCCCCAGCGAGTCGCGCGGAGCGAAAGGGCTGTCGGGGGGGTCAGCATCCCGGTCGGGGACTGTCCCGGAGCTTTGTATACAATCGGCCAGGGCCACGCCGTCATCTCAGGGTTCAATTGCTTAGAGATTATCGGACACTATGATTGAATCAGATGTATTTACAGGCTGTTAGAACTTCTTCGACGCGAAGGTCGACGCTCTCAGAAAAGCTGCATCCTTCGCTCAAGTTGCAGGCGCGCTGGCAGCGATCGGCGCAAATTTCAACGCGGGGTCCGAAGAAGCTGAACCCCCCGGAGTGCTGGGGCGTTTTCATGGGCAAAGGTCTCCCCGAAATGAATCCCAGGCGCGCGTTCCAGCGCGGGTGGCGGGGGGGCCAAGATGCGCGATGATTTCGTGCTTGCGCGAGGTTTGGAGAAAGCCGCGTCGGTGGCCGCTGCTGCGCAGACGCTTTGTGCTTCCGCCCGTGTGCCAGTCCAGATGCGCTCTCATTCCAAGCTGGCTTTCCTGCGAGGGCTGGCTTTCAGGGGGCGCCTCCCGTCGCAGCCGACGACGGCGGTCGCCCAGCCCCGGCGCCGCCCCAGGCCCCAGCAGCGGGAATCAGTGAGAGAGCAGGCGCAGAAAGCAGAGGAGCCTGTCAATGCTGGCCAGACGAAGCCGGAGCAGGACGGGCTCACGCGCGTGCACCTTGCAGGGCCAACTTGTCCGAGCAGGGGGCCCTCGGGGCCAAGCACGTCGAAGTCCCGCGCGTTGGGTTCGAAGGTGGAGCGGCCGCAATTGCATCGGGCCCCATCGATGAAACCCGACAAGCCCCGGGAGGACACAGGTCACTTGTGCGCCGCCAGATGGCGGGCCAGTAAGTGCCGTGCGTTCACGTTGCTGGTCGCTGCTGATCCGAGCTCGCGTCTCTGCGGCGCCTTGAAGCATCCTTCCCTCTTCGACCCCCCCCCCGGTCCAGAGGCGCAGTGGAAATCTTCGGCCCTGGGCGTTTTTATTTTAATTTTACTGGGGCCCATTGATTCCGAGGCTGGGCTGAATGGGGAGGCGGGGGAATCTTTGCTCCTGGCCATGGGCGAGGCCTTGCAGCTTGCGGCGCCCGTCGAACGCGCGAGGGGGATTACTCTGGCCAAGATTTGTCTAGGAGGGAGACACCGATGCACGGCGCATGCGGTCATTCAGGGGGCCAGAACGTGGGCGGCCGACCACCGCGCTCTCTGTCGAAGGCGATTTTGTTGCGGATCCGCTGCCCTTGCTATATGCCGACGCAGATCCTTTTTTCACGTTGATGGAATGCCAGTTCTGGGCCGCCGTCGCAGCCTGACACCTTCGAGCCCATGGCCCCTTTGCTTTTATTCTTCGCAGATGAGCCTAGGCGCTCTAGCAGAACTTAGTTGTCGAGAGCGGCCGTCGTCACGCTGGGCTTCTGTGAGCAACGCTACTCGGTCACGAGAGCCCAGTGCCTCCCAGTGCCCATTGCTGCCCTGTCAGTCATGGAAGGATCAGGGGTGGTTCCCAGACACCTGTGCGACAATCATGACAGCCCTGTTGTTCAAGCCAGATCGCGGAATCCGACTGGCAGGCATCTCTCCATCCAGCAACAGGCCTTAGGGCCGCTGTCGCAAGGGCCGAACGTCTGATTGGGAAGCCGAGTTCCACGGGAAATATTTCGCGGGGAGTAGTTTCGCCTCAGCTCCAGACGCGGTCTGGAAATTGGCGCCCCGACCAGAGGTTGCGCGAGCGTCGGGCGCGTCGGCAGTCACCTTTTGGTTTCTGGGACGTATTTGCTAAGTTGTACGATCTGATACCTTTGGAGCTGCTGTGGGCTAGGGCGGTCGACGCGGGTTGTCCGCCCTCCTCCCCATGCTCGGCTCGCCGTCGTTTCGCTCGGGCGCCCGCGGTTCATTTCCAGGGGCCGCGGTGCGCAGTGAAAGGTTTGGCAGCAGGCTGCTCGATGGCAACTGCCCTCGCTTGATTATTATTGACCAGGAGTCTCGACCGGATTGTTATTCCCCGCGTTTTTCGTTTGGACGTCAGCATCGGTGACAATGGCATCTCAGCGACAGGTGATCAGATTTTCTTTTGCCAGGCCATCGTCGAGGGGTCAGAGCGGACCCACGAGCCGAGAAGGCCAGCCCCATTGTGTTTGTTCTTCCGTTGGCAAGCTGGCAGGGGGGCCCGTCTCGTCGGCAGTCGACTTAGGCGCGGGCGACGCATGTGGGAGAGCCCATCGCTCAGGCAAGCGCCCCTTCAAGTTCGGTTTCAGGTTGGCGGGTTCCAGCAACAAAAGGTTTGCATATTCGAGAGGAGCAATACTATTCTGCGACGATGTTCAAGCGCGTGTTCGTTTCCGGATTTTTCCCTGGGCTGGTGCAAGGGGCCGAGATCAGGGGCTTCTCCGATGGGAAAGTTGCCGTTGCCAGGAGATCGTTCGGCGCGACCTGCGAACTGAGCGCAGGCCAGAGGCCCTTCACTTCCTTGCACGCGCCCGAGACAGATCCCACCCGTTACTCCTCCGCGCGCTGGCCAACCAAACGCATTCGCACCCTTGATGTTTCAGCGTCGATGAGTTGCGCAATTCGCGGAAGGAGGTTTTCATCGACAATGAGAAGGTAGGTTTTTGGAGGTTGGTTTGCGGCCCGCTGTCGCCCATGTTTCTTGCCTTGGGCAGGATCGATTGGAAGATTGGGTCGTTTACTGAACTTGTTGACATTTCGGCGCGACGATCCAGCTCGTTCTGCACTTGCCCGCTCGCGTCAAGAAAGCTTTGCGCGCCGCTGTTACGCGATGCCTTGAGAAGACCAGTGCCGGCGCACTGCTTCCCGGCGTCCTGGGGCTGCGTTGCGACAGGGTCAAGGCGCAGATTGCGTCCAAGCGCTTTACGCTCTCGAGAAAGGGTGCGTTCCAGCCATGGCTTGCGGGGCGCGTGGACAAAACAGGCGGCGGCCGGCAGGGTTTACCAACAATCGGTTTTAATTTGCGGCCTCTTTCAGCGTGTTGTTGATGCCTTGTCACACCGCCTGTGTTTTTCTCACCCTGCCATGGGGGGGGGGAGTTCTGGCCAAGCTCAAAAATGAAAGGCCCTGCCCCAGTGATTTCGACTTGACAGGTGCGTCCGAGCAGTTCCTCTTCACCAGGGGCGTCTTCAAACACCCCGTGAACGCGCGTCCCCATCCACTGTCGGCAGGTTCGGTTGAAGCTGCGCGGTGTAAGCGCGAGGTTTGTTTAGACCTGGAAGCGATGAGCCTTTTGTTCTGCATCTTGAGGTGTTGCCGAAGTGTTGTTCCGGTCGTGTCCAGCGGGGGCTGTATGTTAGCAGTGCGTGATTATAGCCGGCAAATGTGGTGTCATTACTCGGCCCCTGAGTTGGCCCCTAACCCTCAGACTTCCAAGGCAGTCGAGTTTCTCGCCATTTCGGCCGCGGGACAGATTACAGCTCCAGAATAATATTTCGCAGACTTTGACTGCCACAGCGTGGTTGGGCAGCTCGCGTTCCCCAGGAAAGAACAGCTGTCTTGCAATCGCCAGTATAGCAGAGCCTTGTGAGGGGCCCAGGGGAGGGCATACTCCTGGACGCATATCTGCGCAGGTCGCCACCCAAATTACGACCGCGTTACAGTGCAGGTCTGTCCTTGGGGCGAGGAGGAGGGTGCTTTCCCCAGCTCGCAGTTGTCAGGGATCGTCTTCGGCGGGAGGCGGTGCGGGGTCGGGACCGTCGGCGGCGACGCGGGAGACTCGGACTGATCAGTTCATTTCGGCCGCTCACAGCGCTCCTCCTCTCACCGCGGAGGCTGTTCTCTACGTCTTTGCGAGCGGGTCCCGTTACACTTGCGGCCCAAGTTTCGGGCTCGTGAATTTGTTTGTGTTGTTTCCCTCATTCTCGTGTGTCGTTTGATGTTGAAGAAGATCCTCCTGATCCGCCTTCTTCGACAGGGGGATGTTCTCATTCGCCCTCCGCCCTCCCTTCCACCAGGAGGCAGGAGGGGGGGACGCATTGCAGGACAAAGGGGAGGAGGAGGAGGAGGAGGAGGAGGAGGAGGGTGACGACATGGAGCACGAGGACGACCAGGAGGACGATAACGACAAGAAGCACGACGCCGACGCCGCCGCCGCCGACCACGATGACGCCGACGCCGACGACGGCAACGACGGCAACGACGGCAACGACGGCAACGGCGAGCCAGACGACGGGGATGCTACGGGCCCAGGCTGCTTGCTGCGCCCTGACGGCGCGCCGCGCGCGCCATGGGCCTGGCGGGCGCCGCCGAGCGGCGGACGGCGGCGGGTGCGGCACTGTCGGCCGCCGCGCTCTACGGCTCGCGCGGGCGATGGCGCCCCGGAAGGGATGCGGCATGCTCACGCGCCGCGCTGACGTGGCGGCGGGCCTGGCGCAGGCGTTCCAGGCTGAGCGCCGCCGCCGATGGCCCAGAATCCGCCCGCGCCGAACGATGCGCGCTATCGCAAGCCCGCGCTCGATCAAGGTTGAGCGACCCAGTCGGTATCAGGAGCCAACGCCGACGTCATCGCGTCGTGAACCTGCCGAAGGCGGACGTCAGCCAAACACGGGTCCATCCCAGGCCCAGAATGGTTCAGGGACGGGAGGTTTGGGGGGGGCTCGACGAGTACCCTCCAGGTTACTCTCCAGGACAGTGACGCCACGGTATTACTCCTGCTCGTCCTCGTCGTCCCTTTGCTCCTCCACGACCGGCCCCAAAGACGCCGACTTGCAGTGGCGCTCCTTCTTGCTCCGAGTGAGGGTCCACTGCAGGGAGAGGGGGATCCTGTGCCCAGTCACAGAAGTAGCGCACATTCCAAGGATGTTGAAGGCAACGAGCAGAAAAAAAAGCAGGAGGAGGAGGAGGAGGAGGAGGAGGAGGAGGAGGAGGAGGAGGAGGAGGAAGGAGGAGGAGGAGGACGAGGAGGAGGAGGAGAGGAAGGAGGAGGAGGAGGAGGAGGAGGAGGAGGAGAGGAGGAGGAGGAGGAGGGGAGGAGGAGGAGGAGGAGGAGGAGGAGGAGGAGGAGGAGGAGGAGGAGGAGGAGGAGGAGGAGGAGGAGGAGGAGGAGGAGGAGGAGGAGGAGGAGGAGGCGGAGGAGGAGGAGGAGGAGGAGGAGGAGGAGGAGGAGGAGGAGGAGGAGGAGGAGGAGGAGGAGGAGGAGGAGGAGGAGGAGGAGGAGGGAGGAGGAGGAGGAGGAGGAGGAGGAGGAGGAGGAGGAGAAGGAGGAGGAGGAGGAGGTGAAAGGCTTCTTGAACCAATTGCCTACAGGCCGAGAGAGAGAGAGAGAGAGGAGGAGGAGGAGGGAGGAGGAGGAGGAGGAGGAGGAGGAGGAGGAGGAGGAGGAGGAGGAGGGGGAGGAGGATATACTTGAGCATGCTTTCGGCGGTGCGGCCATGAGCGTCTGGCAACTCTCGAGCGGCCCCGAGGGGGCTGCGCAAAAGGGCAGGAAGGAAGGGGGGGGAGCTGCTGGCTGCCCAGGGTGCCGGCTACGGCGGCAGCGCTACCGGGGTCGGGCGCCACCACCGCGCCCACGGCCGTCAGCTGCATCGGCGACAGCCACACGCGCGGTGTGCAGGGCGCTCCGTGGGTCCCTGCACTCGAGGCCATGCTGGGGCGGCCCTGCCGCAACCACGGCAAGGAGTGCGGGCAAGATTGGTATCGATATCCTTTTGAGTCGTGGACTTTCTGGGACGGGGCGCCAGAAGGCCAAGGCGCAGTGGATATGGGAGACAATCCAGCCTCCAGGGGCCTGATTCGAGTCCATATCCACCGCGACCCGGGTGTGTGGGGAAGGGAGTCCGAAATTTCAAGATGCGGCGGATATGGATATACGTCTTGCCTGCGAGGACGGGGAGTCCGTCGCCGCAGCGGCGCGCCGCCTGCCGTCGCTGCCCATCGGTGAGGATGCCGTGGTGCTGGTGGGGACCAACGACGCCCTGCTGGAGCTGGCCACGAGGCAGGCGGGCCACGACCAGGGGAGCTGTGCTCGTTACCCCTCTCGGGGGCCGATCGGCTTCGACGCTCCTCTCCATGGATTGTCGGGGCGGTGGGTATCCTCCAAAGGGGTACTAAAGACAGCCCCCCCTGTCGAGCGACGTGCAAAAGCGAGGTCTGCAGCATGGCCACCCGCGCTCAAGCTGCCCGGATGTATCTAAGCGCCCGCGTGTCTACGCGGCGTGCCGCGCTGGCGGCCCGCGTAAGCCACCGCGTAAGGCCGACAGGTCGTCCGGCGTAAGACCCTTTTTTCCTTCGTCGCTCAGTCGTGGCTGGTTGTCGAGGGCCGGGAACTCCAGGACCGCGCGGATGCTGCGCGTGAGCAACGGCCTCCCCGCGGAGTACGAGCCCTCCGCGCGCATCTTTGGGCACCTGCTCCGTGGGTTGCTGAGGAGCTCCCGGGGCGAGAAGGGAGGACGGGGGGAGGGAAGAGAACACGAAAGGCGGAGGGCCCAGACCCCCGCGCGTCGCGAGCAGAATCACGGAGGTGGGTTCCTGTTGCCATCCTCGGCCTCTGGGGGGGCTCGCTGGGCCCTGGGGAGATGAAACGACGGCTCGGGACGAACGGGGGGTCTTGACGAGCGGGTCGAGACCTCTTGAGGGGCCACCGTGACAAGGCGCGGCGGCATTGAGGGGGGGGGGCGGCGGGGGGGGAGGTCGGAAGAGCCAGCGAGCGAGAGCGGGAGCGGTTGGGCGGTCGGGATCAGGAGCTCAGCACCCTCCTGCTCCTTCCTGCCCCGGGGGGGAGGGGACGGGGAGCACGACTCGTGCCCCGCCGATCCTCACCCTGTTGCTCGTTCTGCACGAGCAGCATGGTGAGGATCGGGAGGGGGACAGCGGGAGGGAGGAGGGCGGAAGGCGAGAGAGGGGATGGGGAGAGGAGGGCGGAACGGGAAAGACGAGGGAGGGGGGCAAAAGGGGGAGGCGGAGTGGGAAACAGGGGGAAGAGGAGGAATCATAATGGAGGAGGAGGGAGGGAGGAGGAGGGAGGGAGGAGGGAGGAGGAGGGAGGAGGAGGGGGAGGAGGAGGAGGAGAGGAGGGAGGAGGGAGGCGGGAGGAGGAGGGAGGAGGGAGGAGGAGGGAGGGAGGAGGAGGAGGAGGAGGAGGAGGAGGAGGAGGAGGAGGAGGAGGAGGAGGAGGAGGAGCAGGAGGAGGAGAGGAGGAGGAGGCAGGAGGAGGAGGAGGAGGAGGAGGAGGAGGAGCAGCAGCAGCAGCAGTAGCAGCAGCAGCGGGAGGAGAAGCTCTACGGGCACCCGCCCCGCTGGCCTGCCGAGGAGCTGCCCGGCACGCCGTTCGGTAGTCGTCAGCTTGCCTCCCATCGGCGAGGCGGCGGACGGGCAGGCCGCCGAGGCTCGACAGCGTTGGCACCGTGGCCGCAGTGCTGTCACTCCTCATCAGCACGCGTCGTACAGCGAGCACCGTCACCGCTATCATGCCTCTTCATCAGCAGCATCATCATCGCCATGTTCCACTTCATCCAACGTCATCGCTCGTCATCTCTCTTGCCCCCCGTCGTCGTGACCGTCGTCCTCCTCGGGAGGCAGGGGCGGGAGGAGCAGGAGGAGGACGGGGAGGAGGAACAGGGAAGACGATGATAGGGTTGAGGGCAGAAACAAGGACGAGCAGTTCTCGGGGTCCTCGCGTGGCTCTCCCAGCTCCTCATATTGCTGCTCGTGCCAGTCTGCCTTTCGACACGGGCGTGTGGGGCCGAGTTTTCCCTGTCTGCCTCTTGATCTGGCCGTGAGGCGAGGAGCCTTCTCCAGTCCGCCTCTTGATACGGCTGTTTGGAGACGAGCCTTCCCCGGGTTTCTTCTTGACGTGGGTATTTTGGGGTTGGCCTTCCACAGCCTATTTCTTGATATAGCTGCATGGAGGTGAGCGTTAGTGCCTTCCCCAGCCTGCCTCTTGGCATTTCTGATTGCGTATGGGGTGAGCAGCAGTCTCCAGACTGGCTCTCGCTATGGCGCGGACAGGGTGGTAGCCTTCACCAGTCGTCTGTTTGTTCCCCACCCGACAGGGTGGCGTTGTTAGACCGAAAGCAAGGAGCACCCGACCCTTCTCACGCACCCTGCATACCGCGGCCGCCAGGCCTAAAGCTTGCCGGTGCTCCCACACATCCCGCCACGCGTCCTCGACGAATGGCGACTGCATACTTCGGCCGCCGGGCCCAAAGTGTGCCCATGCTCATTGGGGATTCCGTCTCTCGTTCTCCGGACGGAATCCCGGAGCAAAATGTGTTCTAATCGCGGCGAGTTCGAGACATCTACACATATAATGATTGGTGCGTGTATTTGTGCCTCGAGGCTCGCGCTCCTCATGCTGGACACAGCCTGGCGGCAAGGCTGGTGGTCCTGCGTACCTTCCACACATGCCTAGTCACGAGGGACAGATCTACATGACGCAACCCAGCGGAAACGTTGGCGGCCCTGCGTACAGCCGCGCCCCTATCTGGGGGGGCACGGACCACCAGGATGTAGCCCAGCGGCAATGCTGACGGTCTTGCATACTTCGATGTGAGTTGTCTTGTCTCACCACTTGCGTGGGTGCCGAGGTCTCCTCCACCCACAGCGGCTGCGTCTGTTTCACCAGTGCCAATCGTGTACCGGGAACAGCCAATCTCACAAGCTGTGTAATCCAGCAATGTACTCCTGCTCGTCCTCTTTTTCTCCACCTCATCCCCCGTCTTCGGGCCACCCCATTCAAACACTTTTGGGAACCAGCCGGACATCTCCCACAGCTTCCAGAAGCTTTGCAGGCCTTGTCGTCCCCATCTTCGTCCTCATACTCCTCCTCAGACACGGGGGGGCGCTCGCGCGCCCACATCGAGCAAATTGGGCTGGACTAGTTTGGGATGATTCAAGAGGCTTCCGCCATTCCGCCGACCTCTAGACGAAGTGAGGCCTTGTGGACGTCTTGGTGAGCGTCTTGCGCGCTGGTTCAAGACGCGTGCTGGGTGCTTGCTGGCTGTTTCTGGGGTGTCAGAGTTTCCTGTGCGCTTGCTGGCCGTTTCTTGGACGCTGTCGCGCGCATGGGATGCCTTCAAAGGTCTGGGTGTGTGGAAGGAGTGACCACCGCGCAGTTGCTACTCTACGCATGGGGCTAAATCATCCCGCGCTTCTCTGGAGGGTGCACTGAAATATGTTGCGCGTCGCGCATGAAGCGAAATGCTCCCGGCCGGAGCCACGCCGCGGATGGTTGATATAAATTTCTCTTTTATGGATTCGGAGAATGAGGGGGGAGGAGGAAAAGGATCAAATAGATAACGACGACGGTGAGAGGAAGGAAGAAAAGGAGGAGGAACGAGTCGGTTTGTAATATTGTCTGGGCTTCGTTTGAGGCCCCCCTCAAGAAGCGGGGGGGTGTCCTTGGGGATTCTCGGAAGTCTTCGGGGGGCCTCATTTTGAGCATGTTTAAAGCCTCCTGGAGCTTGTGGGGGCATGTTCGGGGCCTGCTGGCGGCCCGGGTGGCGGCCTCTTGGAGCTGTGTCGAGGCTCCGGGAGGGTTTGGGGGGGCGCCCCTGGGTGGTTTTTTGGGGGCTTCTTGGAGCCAGTTGGTGGTTTTGGGAGTCATTTTTGGGGGGAGGGCTCCTCGGGCCTTTGCGGTTTTCCCCCTCTTGGGCATTTCTTAGGGCCACACTCAAATGGTTTTTGCCGTCTTGGGGGCCTCTTGGGCCGTCTGGGGGCCCTCCTTGGCCGTATCCTAGCCGTTTGGAGGGTCTCTTGGGCCGGCTTGTGTCAGCCTGCGGGCCTCCTTGGCCGTCTTGAGCGAACAGACGCCAGAGAGCCGAAAACGCGAGAATCATGCAAACAGATTATGGGGAGTCCATGTTTATTGCATCTTGAGGTCCTCTGGGAGGTCTTCTTGTGGTTTTTTCAGCGTCTTCGGTCGTCTTGAGACTATCCTGGGTGTTCTTGAGGCCCTCCGGCGTATTGGAACTCGTTCGGAGCCATCTAAGAATCTTAAATCGCATCTTGGGATGTTGGCGGGCCACGGGATGATTTGGGGGTCCGGAGCTCTCAACGCAAGTAGTCGTATGGATTTCCAGCCATGGGTCGTTTTTGTTGCCAACCATGCTGTGGTGTTGGGTCCTCCTTTTGAAGAAAGCGCACCCCGCGTCCTTGTTCCTCTCCTATCCTCCTCCCTCCTCACATCCTTGCCGCCTGCCTCCGCATGCCCATGTTTCGGCACACCCCTCACACGTTTCGTGGCCCCATAGAGAACGCTACCGAATGCCCCAGTGGCCATGTTCGCATGTGGCCGCCCCGCCCATTTCGGCGTAACCCTTACACCTTTCGTGGCCCGCTAAGGAGCTCCACCTAAGGCCCCAACGGCCATGTTCGCATGTGGCCGCCTTACCACCCCTCACACGTGTCGCGGCCCCGTAGGGAGGAAGGTCCCACTGGCAAAGTTCGCATGCGGTTTCCCATCCATTTCGGCACACCCATCACACACTCCGTGGCCTCCTGGGGAGCACCACCGAAAGCCCCAGTGGCAAAGTTCGCACGCGGGTACTCCCAATTTCGGCACACCCATCACACGCTTCGTTGCCCCATAGGGGGCTCAACCGTGTGCCTCAGTAGCAACCTTCGCATGCGTTTCCCCGGCAATTTCGGCACACCCCTCACACGTTTCGTGGCCTCATAGGGAGGTCCACCGAAGGCGATACCCACAACGACGGTATCCACAACTGCACATGGTTGGGCCCTTCGCCAGGATACTTTTGGAGGGGCCCAGGAACCGACCTGGGGGTCCGGAGGTCTGAGCTCAGAAGACTGGGCCCTCGTTTTTTTTGCCAAGACGTCGCAGGTCGGACAGTGCGGACACATATTCGCGCGGTCTTGATGCAGGTGACAGTCAACCCGCATAGTAAGGATGAGCGATTTTCCAAGGTTGCCCTTGCATCCTTCCACTTCGGCCCATCCTTGGCCGCTTTCGCTGGCCATGCCCCGCCCGCAAAGTGCTGACATGGCCTTCCAAGGCCATGACATCCTGACCGCGCGTCCTTATTGCACGCGTTACCTGTGTGGACTCTTGTTTCGACAAGCTGTTGCCGCGGGGAGGAAACATGCCCTCTTCCGAGGTGGTGGGCGCCTACAACGAGCAGATCAGGGCGGCGGCCGCAGCCTGCGAGGGCGCGAAGTACGCGCCCTTCGCGGAGGCGCTAGGCCCAGCCTTGCCGCGCAACGGCGGCGGGGTGCCGTTTGACGCCTCGACGGCCGGTTTCGGGCGCTTCGTGCGCGAGATGGTGTGGCACAGGGCCCGAAGGCCTCCCCCTCCTGCCTGCTCGTTTTCGTTTCCCTGCTCATGCTTCTTTGCAGTTCCTCTTCGCCCCGGGTCATTCCGTGGTCGCCGTCGTGCCCCTCGAGCTCGAACTCTTCGACCTCGCAGGCGGCACAAACTGCTTTTTGCTTACGACTGTCCTCGGGCCGCCCGTGCTCGCTGCGGAGGTTGTCTGCTCCTTCTGCTCCAGCCCGGGCGTGGCGCATGCTCTTATTCGGGGGCCGGGCAGCGCGCGGGAGAGCTCAGCGCTGCCCTCGCCTGAGCGCCGCACAGAATGTTGCCGAAACGTGCGCCCCGTCGCCGCGCACGTCATCTGCTGCTCGCCAATCCGGCTTGGGAGCGGGGCCGACCGCGAGAGACTAAGCCTCGCTCTCACCTAGGTGCCGCGCAGAGATAGCCCTCAAGCTGTGCTTCGGCTTGGGCGCGGCGCATGGTTTCCACCCGCCGATTCCCGCCGAGGGCTTGCACCAAGGAGGCAACGCTTTGAGAGCACGAGTGCTTTAACACATGACACGCTGCGTGCGGAGAGCCCGCTATCCACTCCTTGTCTCAGATGGGGTCGGAGTAGATGGGGTCGGAGGATCGCGCCGCATCGCCGATGCATCGGCGATGCGGCTCGATGCGGAGCCCGACCTGCTTCACGTCGACGTTGCCGATGCATCGCCGACGTCGACGATGCATCGCCGTTGCATCGCCGATGTGTCGGCTGTGCATCGCCGATGCATCGCCGACGCATCGCCGACGTATCGGCGAGGCGGCGCGATCCTCCGACCCCATCTAGCCCGATCCTATCTAGGAGGCGTTTTTTTTTGTCTGAACTCACACACACACACACTTGTTGGGCGTCAGCGGGCAGGCGCAGCGCCATGCCGTCCGAGCAGTAACGCGGACGCGCGCGCTGGCAACGAAGGAAGCGGCAAGGCCCTCATGGGGGCAGCGGCAGGGCCTCCAGGCCCCTCTAACAACACACTTGTTTTGTCAACGGCGAGGCGGCGAACTCCGCTCCAGCGAGAAGCTAACTAGCGAATTGGCCGGCGGGGACAGAAGGGGGGGGACGTCCGAGAGGAAGGAAGGGACGTTCAGATGTCGAAGAGTTCGACGATGAGCAGCCAGGGGGGCGCTCCAAACACACACACACACACAAACAAACAAACAAACACACACACACATGCCATCCATCCCGCGCCCTGTCGATTTCTCTGCTGCCCACTGCCAGTGATCTTTACTGGTGGACGCCATCTTACTTCGGATTGCACCCACGCGCCACAACCGATCATGATGCTTGGGTGCGACGGCTTTCCCGTTTCCGCTCTCGGGCAACATTGTCCCACGCCGTGTTCGCTTCGCGCAGGAATTCGAGTATCAAATCGGCCATGTTTTTTGAACCTTGTCGTGTGGGGATTTTGCCTTTTGAACCTTTTGAACCAACCTTTTGAACCTCGGCCATCGCGTCGACGGTAGTTCTTCCAATGTTATGGGAAGGGATGGAAGCGGGTTGGGCCCGCAGCCTCACTGAGCTGTCTACGTATAGCTTCTCAAACTCATTTTGCTGCTCTTGCTGCTGATCCTGCTCTCCTCCTTTTTTCCTCCCGCCCACTCCTACTTGCTTCTAGCGTTTTTACCACCACTTCCATTATGCTACCACCGGTCCGCGAGCTCACACAAGCGCCTCCGCGATCGTCACTTGACCACGCCAGGCTACTGGCAGCATGCCGCCAGCGTTGGACACGAGAGGACGCAGCAAGCAGCGTGCTCCCAAGCAGTCAACCTCTTGACGCGCGGGAGGACTGTAGACGATTCAATCGGGTCGACGGGTGTGAATACAAGACGATTGTAAAGTCCAGGATGCCCGCCGTTCGCAGCAAATTCGCCCAACGGGAGATCATGTACCAAGACTGTCTTGATAACACTTCGTACTGTTATAACTCCCACTCCCGTTCCCACTCGTACTACCCCTGTTCTTATTCATAATCGTAAGTATTCCTGCTCATCCTCATCTCCCCGTGCTTCTCCCCATTTTACTTCTCGGCACCTTTACCCACTCCCGTGCTCCTCCCATCTGCTCCTTCTTCCTCCTGTTCCTGCTTCTCCTCTCCACCCTTTGGTCGTCCTCTCCCTCCCCTCCCTGAGGGAAGAGTGACGGAGGGGGAAGGGAAGGGCGAAGGACGAATCAAGGTATAGCATCCGAACGGGATGGAAACTAGCCGATCGGACGATATGAAGGGCAGCAGCTCAGAGGGCCGCCACCAGGTGCACGCCGAAGGCGAGCACCATGAGCGGAGGAGGGGGGAATGGGGGCCGACCATGCGCGCAAGCGGCGGGAATGGAACCACCCCCACCCCTGCTGCACCCTTCTCCGCTGCTGGACGGCCTCCTCGCCCCGATGGGGCGAAGGCCGTGGCGACGATCTCCAGCAGCAGCTTGCTGTCGTCGCCCGAGAGGTCGTGGGCGCCCGCCGCCTGGATGAGGGCGCGGGTGTCGTCGGGAGGGGCCCCCAACCGCGAAGCCAGGGCCGCCCTCTGCGCCGACAGCGTGGCCTCGCCGCGGGACACCAGCGCCGCCAGCACTGGGTCCGCCGCGATGGAAGCCGCGCTCGCCGCCGGCGCCGTGAGCTCCGCGGGCACCGCCGCCGCCTCAAACAACCACCGCCGCGCCAGGGGCGTCGGCCCACTCGTCGTCGATGCTGGAGGCGTCGGCGTGCGCGCCAGCCCCGACCTCCCTCCCGTCCCCCACCATGTGGGCAGCGCCATCAGCAGCGGGCCCGCCACGTCGCGCGCGGCGGCGGCGCCTCCGAGGCGCGGCAGCGCCTGCAGGAGGCTCGGCCGCCGCGGGCGCGGCAGGAGCTGCTGCGGCCGCCTCCCCACGAGGCGGTAGGGCTGCGGCAGGCGGGCGAAGCTGCGCGGCCTCGAGCTCCGCCACCGCCGCGCGGCAGGTCCCCCCAGCGGCCCAGCGGCGCGCAGCAGGCGGCAAGCCGCTGGCGTGCGCCGCGAGAGGCCCGCCGCCGCGTGAATCGGCAGCGCCGCCCCACGGGCGGCAGCCAGCGCGTTGTGCAGCTCGCGCTGCATCTGCGGCGCCATCCGCTCCAGGGACAGAGGCGGGCGGCGAGCGCGGCCCTGCGGCAGATTTTGGGAATGGCAAGATGGCTCGGAGGGGGCAGGGAGGGAAGGCGGAGCAGTGGGAGGTGGGAGGGCGGAGAGGGAGGAGTCCAGGAGGAGGAGGAGGAGGCGGAGGAGGAGGAGGAGGAGGAGGGGGAGGAGGAGGAGGAGGAGGAGAACGAAGAGGAGGAGGAGGAGGAGGAGGAGGAGGAGGAGGAGGGAGGAGGAGGAGGAGGGGGAGGAGGGGAGGGCGAGGCCTCCGCCCTCCCCCTCTACCGCCCCCCCGCGCGACGCAGGGCGATGCCCGCCGCCCCCTCGCTGGACCAGCTTGCCCAGCGGCGCGGCCGCCGGGTGACGCACGACGGGGTCCACCTGACCGAGGCGAGCGCGGCGGTCCTCGCGGACGTGGTGGCCGCCGCGCTCGGCCCGGGCTGACAAGGGGCCCGGGTTGAGTTGCTGCGAGGAAGGCACAGGGCGAGTCTTGGCCTCCAAGATGGGGTCGGAGTTGATAGGGGTCGGAGGATCGCGCCGCACCGCCGATGCATCGGCGATGCTGTGGAGTTCGATTTTCTCCACGCCCACGTTGCCGATGCACCGCTGACGTCGCCGATGCATCGCCGATGCGGCGCGGTCTCCGGCCCCATCCAGGAGGCCTCTATCTAATGGCATTCGGCCCATCCCGCCACCACGCCTGGGTTGTAGGTATGAAGCCTAGTGGATGTTTGTTGGGATCTCGTGGGCGGGCCTCTCGGGGGCCTCTGGGAGGTGGTTTGGAGGCCTGTTGGGGGCCGTTTGGGGGCCTCTTGGGGCCCCTTCTGGGCCCCTTGAGGGCCTCCTGGGGGCCTCCTGGGTGGCCCTCTGTTCTGGTCCCTCGGCTGCGAGCCGAGGCCGCCTGGCACGGCCCGCTCCGAGCCGGCGCGCCGGCAGCGCTGGCGCGGGCGGCCAAGGGTCGGGCGACGTATGGAGCTGTGTGCGATCTCGGATCGGCGGCGAGAGCCGCGGTCGTCCCAGGCTGAGCGATCCGCGCGGGGCGAGAGGCCGTTGGGGTGACAGTCGTTAGTCGGCGGCGAGCGAGGGGGGGGAGTGAGATGGGGAAGGCCCTCTCAGAAGGCGGCGGGGCTCATCAGAGGCCCTCGCGCCTTCTGAGATGTGTTCTGTTTTCCGGGGAAGGCTCAGGTAACTTCTCAGAAGGCCGGGGGACTTCCGAGCCTTTTGAGAAGGCCCGCCCCTCCTCATTCCTCCCCCCGGACTCGGCAGCTCTCGGAGCTGCCGAAAGCCGCGGTCGTTCCAGGCTGAGCGATGAGCGCGGGCACGGGTAGCGTCAGGGGGGGGGGGCGGTCAGGAGCTTTTGCGTAGCGTGTCGCCTCGGCGTCCCTGGCGACACACTATGCCTTGTGAGTTGTTCACGTGTCGCGCCGCCCCGCGGGGCGGGAGGTCGTCAAAAGCTTGGGACGTTGACGATTCGGGGCCGATCGGGCCGAGAAGTGGATACAGCGTGTCGCGCCAAAGCGTGGTGGGCTAGATCCGGCGGAGCGACACGCGATCCCAAAGTTCCCACCCAGTGGCTCAGGAGGGGACGCATCGACCTCCAATCGCTTCTACTCATCGCTGATAAGGGGCCCGATAGAGCACCCCGCGCAGGAACGTGGGGGTTCACTGTCGGGTCCTGTCGCCGATCTATCGGCGATGTATCGCCGACTCCAGCTCGATGCTTCCCCCCCTGAGCTGCCCCCCCCCCCCCTGTTTTCCCCCTCGGACCAGCTCCCGCGTCGTCGCGACGCGAGCCTGCCGTACTCGAGCAAGGCTGGTGTGTGTACAGCAGCACCGGCCCCCTGCCCCGCGTGCACGTGCTGCCGCTCTTCCAGTTTTCGCCAGCCTCCGGGAAGGTGTCGGGCCCAGCCGGGGGCGCGGGCCGCCAGCCGGCGGCCGAGGGGCCGCGCGCTCGCAGACCTCTTGCGCCCTTTGGGCGGCGAGAAGAAAACGTGTGGTCCGTTCCGCCCCAGACATCAGGGGTTCTGAACAGAGTCCTTGCAGCCTGTCTTCTGCAGTGTCACCGTCTGAGCCGAATTTTCTGGCCTCGAGTCCATCCAAGAGAGGCTTGGCCCTGGGGATGCGGTCGAGGGCTCAGGGAGCCCACCTGAGTAAAGTAGACCACGACGTCGGAAGCTTGGGTCCATCTGATCCATGCTCCCTCTGATCCCTCCTCATCCCTACCACATCCCCTAATCATTCCTGATCACCCCCGTCCACGCTTCTGCAACCAGTTACCTATCTTCGCTCCGGTTCCCCCTCTCCCCTCGTACTGGTTGGACGGACTGAACCGTTGGTGCAACACATCAGCTCGAATCATGACGCAAGCGAGTGTTTAACGCAACCACGTAATTCCAAAGAGCTCGTGGCTACTAAAAAATGCGACGCGCGGAGTCATGGAAGTGCACCGTGGTGCACAAGAGAGTTGGTTTTGGAGTTAGCGGAGAAACATGATACGAATCGCAGTGTGCCCAAAACGATGTCGCGATTGGTCTGATGATGTGGGTTTGTGTCAGGCGCGCAGTATGATGCACAAAATGCACTGCGCGCCGAATATGTTAGTGAATCTGGGATTGATCACATGTTGATTCCTAACGCTTGCATGGAGAGGGCGTTTAGCAAACCAGTGGGCGCAGCAAATGATCATTGAGTAGCGAGATAACGCAGGGTGAAGAAGCCAGAAACCATGAATCGTCCGATTCGATCGCGTCCATGGAGTTTTTTCACACATGGGAGAGTGAAGTGAAGTTCTTTCCCATAGGATCTGCAATTTTAGTTTGGTCGCCAGCAGGACATGATATTGAAGCGTCGCATGAGTGTGAGAGTGTGCATGCACAGTGCGCGTAGGAATTGGGTGTTGCCTTCCAGTATCACTATTGTTTCGGGCGCAGCCTGGTTGTTTTGTGTTTCCGTGAGGTGCCTTTACCGGCCGGTTGGCTGATTGAGTGATTGGCCCATTGAGTTGATTGTTCGCGGTCGTTAACAGGCCGTTATTTTCTTGGCGGCCGAGTGCGCAACACACAAAGTATGCAGCCAATAGCCCTTTCAAGCTGGCCGGCCGACGCACAAACTTTGGCGGTACAGTGGCAAGCCGCTCCATGTTCGGCAGCCAACGGCACAACATATGGCACAACCAATTGCGCAACCTATGGACGGCGCAACCCTTGGCGAAACTTGTGGCCCTAACCCATGGACGGCGCACCACGTGCAGTAGCGCAACCCATGGATGATGCAACCCATGGCGGATCAGGAAGCAGCCACACGTTGACACGGGGAAAATCCATGAGGAGAAAGCCGACGGAGATCCAAGAAGTGAAACAAGAGAATGGTGAGAGTGAAAAAGGCACAGCAGCACTGCGTAGGATAACAGGGGAATGTGATGGGTACTAAGGAGGGTCATAGGGAGGAGTGGGAGGCGACTGGAAGAGGAACGACCAGAGGAGGCATGAGGAGGCCGATGAGGATGAGGAGGGGCGAGGAACTAGGAACGTGGAGGAGGAGGAGGAGGAGAAGGAAGAGGAGGAGGAGGACGACAACGACGATGACAACGACGAGGTCAACGAGCAGAAGGAGGAGGTTGGAGAAGACGAGCGAGGACGCATGGGGAATTGTGAGAGGCAGGAGCAGGAAGGACAGGAGGAAGGAATAGGAGGAGGCAGTCTGAGGGACGAGAAGGTCTGAGAATGGGGGGTGGGACAGGACGAGAAGGGATGAGGCGAACGGAGGAAGGAGTTGCGCCGACGAGCGTTGCGAAGGAAGCAGAGGACGAGACAGGGTAATACGGAAGGACGGGAATTGGGGGTTGAGTAAAGCGGGGACGAGAGTGAGGACGAGATGGACAGGGAGGGGCGGAGGCATGGAGCGGAATACGGAGGAGGGAGGAGGGAGGATGAGGCAGGAGGACAGAGGGGGAGGGGGACAGGAGGATGAAGCAGGAGGGCGACAAAGGAGCACTTAAGAGCGAGAGAGGCAGATGAGAAGGGGCGGTGATGGAGCATGAGAAGAAGGAAGAGGTGGAGTAAGGAAGGAGTTGCAGAGGGTGGGCGAGGAAGGATTGGGAAGAGTAAGGGAAGGCGAAGGGAGGGTATGGTAAAATTAGGTGATGTACCTATATACATGTACATCTATATATAGAACAGGAGGAGTGGAAATAAGGAGGCTCACCACGGGAGGAGAGGGGTATGATAAGAGGGAACGGGGAGGAGCAGGGGTGACGGATGTGGTCGGAGCAGAGCAACTGCGCCAGTGGAGGGAGGAGAGACATCAGATGGGGGAGGCGAGGCGGATGTTGTGCACAGTGTGGGTCAGGCTTGTCAGGTTACACGAGCCAGCGTGCCCCGCACATTCCCACCATCCTTCCCGTCACAAAAGCATCACTGGTGGCAAAACTTGGCATTGCGATTGGAATGCGTTCCCACCCAACGAACGGAAGGCGCTCGCGCGCGGTCCCGCTCCCGACGATTTGACGAGGAAAAAAAGGCGGGCCGTGCACGTGCGGTAGCGATGCTTCAGGACATTACTGCGCTGCGTTGTGGCGAGCGGCCAAGTTTCTGACGAGCGCGGCGGAGACGAAGCAGGCGCCGCGCCGAAACAGCACTGCCTCTTTCACGCGCAACCTGTGCAGCGCTTGGGCGAGAACAGCATTTCGCCCGCTCTCGCGCGGCCCCGCTGCCGCTGTCGCAGTCATCCGCCCCTATGCGGGAGCGCCACTTTGAGGCGAAACGTGCTCGGCGCCGAGGCGAGCGCGACATTCTCAAGATGATGCGCTGTGCCCCAGTGGGGGGCTCAATTTTCAGGATCATGGGCGCGGCGCCGAGGCGAGAGAGACATTTCATCCTTTCGCGCGCGATGTGCTTCCCGTCTCATTCTCAACGTCGATGCAAACGCAGATTCGCGATGTCGCGACGCAGGTTGCAATGTCGACGCCAAAGCGGCAACGTTGAAAGGAAACTCGTAGAATGTGTGTTCGTTGTGGATGGGTAGGGTGGGGCCTTCCCGATGGGGGGGTCTTCTGGCCAGGTAGCCGAGTAGGACAATCACAGCAAAAAGGAATGAGGGTATGAGAACCATGGATGAGGATTGCCAAGGCGACGATAAGGAGGTTCAGTAGGAGAGGCGAGAGGAGCAGGCGAAGGAGGGGGAGCAGGAGGTAAAGGGGGCTGCGAAGGTGAAGGAGTCAGAGGTCGAAGGATGCCTCGAGGTGAGAAGGCAGAGGACGAGGATGAGGACGCTGAGGAGGGAGGAATGAGGAGGAGGAGGAGGAGGAGGAGGAGGAGGAGGAGGAGGAGGAGGGGGGAGGAGGGGGAAGGAGGAGGAGGAGAAGGAGGGGTAGGACGGAAGAGTGACCAGGGAGCATGCCTTAGGGAGCAGGAGCGAGAAGGGTACAGAAAGCACGGAGCGGGACGTAGGGAGCCAGGAGCAGTTCTGTGATGAGGATTGAGGTTCAGCAAGAGGCGGAGTAGGAGAAGGACAATGATCAGAGGAGGAACAGGTACCGATACCGCTACCGTTCCTTCGTGTTCGCCTGTTTGGGCCTCCTGGGATGCCCTCGTCGCCACCGCTGGATCCGTCTCGAAGTCCTGGTCAGAACGCACCCTGGGAGAGGTCTGGGAAGCAGCGGCCTCGGTACCTCCTGGTTCCCCCAGTGGAGTCAGGAGGACGACGGCGCGGCGATGATCACGCAGGAGGCGGAGTAGGAATGTGCGGAATGTGAGGCAAGGATCAGGAACAGCGAAGCCGCCGTCGGCGTCGTCGACGTCGTCATCGTCGTCGTCGTTGATGTCGTCGTCGTCGACGTCGTCGTCGTCGTCGTTGTCGTCATCGTCGTCGACGTCTTCGTCGTCGATGTCGACGGCGCCGGCGACCACGACGAGGCCGCCCCCCCTGCGGAGGAGCGCGCTAAGGAGAGCCCAAAGCTCCTGTGCCTGGCCCGGCTGCTCCCCGCGCTCCGCGACCGGGGGCGGCGGACGCTCGTCTTCTCGCAGGGGCCGCGCATGCTGGACCTCGTGGAGGCGGGCGAGGGCGCCAGCGACGGCGACGACGACGACGAAGACGGCGACGACGACGACGAGGACGACGACGTCGGCGACGACGAGGACGGCGACGACGAGGACGGCGACGACCACGACCACGGCGACGACCACGGCGACGACCAGGACGACGACGACGACGACGACGACGACGACGACGGCGACGACGACGACGACGACGACGACGACGACGACGACGACGACGACGACGGCGGCGGCGGCGGCGGCGACGACGACGACGACGACCGCAGCGGTGGCGGCGGCGCCGACGCCGCGGCAGCGCCGACAACCGCGGCGCTGGCGGCGACGGTTACGCCGGCTTCGGGGGCGGTGGCGGCAACGGCGGTGGCGAGGGCGACGGTGACGGCGGCTCTCGGCGACGGCGGCTGCGGCCGTGGCCGCGGCTGCGTGGCGGTGGCGTGCCGCAGGAAAACGTGTAGGTCTGAGCTTTCGGGTGTGTTCGGGGACTCCTCGAAGCTCTTCGGAGGTCTTCCGGGGTGGCCTCGCAGGAGGCGTTCGATGTCTCGGCGGATTCTCTTGATTCTCTGGGGTTGGTAGCGGGGGTAAGAGTAAGAGTAAGAGTCAAGTTCGCCAGGTCGAGCGAGTCAGAAGGCCCCGCCTATTTCAATCCTCCCTCGCACAACATATGAATACATTGTGGCATCACTCGTTCCCACTTCGCAAACGGAAGGCGCTCGCGCACGGCCTTGCTTCCGACGACTTGGCGAAAAGAACATTACGCGGGCCGCACAGCGGCGGGAGCGGCAAAACTTCCGATGGGCGCCGCGAAGAGCACGCTGACTCAGCATTGCCACTTTCGCTCAAAAGCTGCGCGGCGCTCGTGCAAGGTCGGTATTTCGCCCGCTCTCGCGCGGCCCCGCTGCCGCAGTCGGTTTCACGAGATTCGGCGAGCGAGCCATGCGCCGCGCCCGCGCGCGATCGCCACTTCCGACCGCTTCCGAGCGAAATCGGCGCGGAGCTTGGGCGAGGGCGACCAGTCGCCCACGCGTGCAGGGCCCCCCCCCAAATGGGAGAGTTAGAAGTACGTTCCGCTTCGAGGGGGGGGCGCCACTTTCAGGCGAACTCTGCGCGACGCCGGTGCGAGAGCGGCATTGTCGTCCGCTCGCGCGTCGGCGAAATTGCTTAGGAAAACTGTGCGCCGCGCCCAAGCGGGAGTTCGATTCTCCAGGAAAGTGAGCGCGGTGCCGAGGCGATTGCGATACGTCTGCCTTTCGCGCGGGATGCGCGCTGCGTCTTTCTCCTGCCACGCATTTTGCAGCGTCGACGACAGAATGCCCAATGATGAGAAGAAACACATGGATGTTGCATGGCTTTTTGGCAGGTCGGATGGGACGTCCCGTATGTGGCCCCAATTGGCCGGCAAGGTAGCAGAGTAGGAATAGATGTGCCAACAAGGACTAAGGACAAGAGCCCCAGGACAGTGCCCAAAAGAATATGACATCAGCAAAGAAGCCCCTTCTGGCCGTTTTTGGTTTGCTCGGTCTTGTTGTCCACCCCCGGCCACGAACCACCCAATGACCAGCCCGGATGGGGTGGCCCTAGCAAGGCATGTCTGACCCAGCCCCAACAGTTGTTGGTCTGCGCACATGCAGCGGGCAGCGCAGAACCACACATTCACATCCAGATGATACCAAAGGCAGTGGGACCCATGCATTCTGAAAGACATCACTTAATGTCTGTTCTGGTGTCAGCTGAACTTTGCGACAGATCGTCCACCCACATGCGATAAGACATGCGCGCGTGGGAGGTTTTTATCTTGGCTTCAATCCTCGTGTAATGCTAGACGTTGCCAGAGAAGGACTCGCTGACCCCTCCTAGCTGCCCCAGCGCCCTCGGCGCCATACATGCGGAAATGTCCCGAAACATCATGACGGGTGGAAGCCTTGTTTCAAAGAAACCCGCATCAACATGCCCCGTTCTGATTCATCACGTAATATGTTGATGCCCATGTTGTTGTGGCCGTAGGGAGCCTCAAGGGCCCAAGCCACTTCCTGTTACAGAGTACGGTGAACCGCCTCCTTCAACGAAGCATTTCCAGCAACTGCAGCGTCCCACTCCGACTCTACGTGCTGGCTCCATTGCCGAACGTAGCCGTCTCGAATCAGCGACCACAGCCGGCCTAGAAACGAAACCAGGCTTATAATTCGGTCGCCGCTCAGCTTCTTTGGCACACGCTTTCCGATGATAAGCTGCGCCTGGAGGGGCCACAAGCAGCTCAGCGATCTCCGTCACCGCTTCTATAGGGATGCCTTCCACATCGATCGGCGTCATTAGATTGGTTCCCGTGCATGTGTTGGCCTTCATCTGATGGGTTGCCCGCCTGACCTCGTCAGCGGTGATGGGGGTCGAGGGGCTCCATCTCGGCCGCCTCACGCGCCGCTGAGAAGCCCTCCGCCATCTGCTCCTTATCCAGTGCGTGCGGCGCCCACACCTGCTGCCACTGCCGACCCTTGCGTCCCTGATGTCCTTGGGATGGACTGTGGCCGCCTTGCTACCCTCGATGAGCTCCAGAGGAGACACCGGCTCCTCCGTCATATCCCCACACTGGACTGCTGCGTGACCTAGCTCTGGAGCTCGGCGGCGGACTCAGGCACCGCTCGAAGTTGTCCTCGCGTGGCCAACTTCGTAGCCTGTTCCACGAATGGCTCGAGCACGGGATCGCCGAGGCTCTGAAGACCGAGCATCATTTCGGCCCACAACTCCTGCGCGCCGTTCTGTCTCTGACGATGCTTCTCCGCCTGACTCAGCGGCGATGCTACACGCTTTCACCAGCAGGCCACCTGATCACGCAACGGAGCTGACGAGACTTCGTAGACTGATGAACCTCCTCATGAATGAATTTGCTGCCGTTATCTTGACTGGAGCTGGCCGGTTTTGGCACGCTGTGGCGAGACCACATTGTTCTGTCACATTTTCACACCACGTAGAGTACCATGAACATGTGGTGAAAGGAGTTGGCTTGGATTGAGCCGATCAGCTACGGAGGCGAGGTACAGAGGGGCATGTTATCAACCTCTCAGGTCTGAAATGGGACCGAGGCTCGATTATGCCGCCAACACTTTACTGAAAGAGATAATTCGGGCTCAAACTACAGGGACGGGTCTTCCAGTGTCGTTTTTTTTCAAGTTGGGGGGCGCACAATCGCTGGGAGGGTTATCGATCGTGCCGACTCCGTCAGACATTCTAATCGGATCAAGTTAAGCAGCCAGAGCCGATCACGAAAAGGACTCATGCTCTTGTTTCTGGGGGCCTTATTTGGACAGCACAGCGCCCTCACCGTCGATCAAGGACCGACTGCTGGTGATAAAGTCGGACATAAACTTGCTTCTTGACTCCAGGGATCGTCTTCCTCGGGCCACTCGCCAATTACATCCTCATCGTCCGAAGGGAAAGCTGCGTCAGCCTCCTTAACTCAGTGAAGTAACAAGACCGACGTTCAGCTGTCACTGCAGCCTGCAAAGCTCTCTCAGCGTTGGCTCTCGACGTCTTGGAATCCCCCTCTCCGGCAACGCGCAGGGTCTCGTGATTTGGGAAGCCGAGCAGGAGCTTTCAGCCGACGGGTGATGGGTTGCTTGCCGCTGCTCCGAAGGTGATGATGAGGGCGATGTGCGGTCGCCAAGGTACGTCCAACACTGCCTGGCACCCAGCACCATAGGGCACCGCCGACTCCTTCATGATGACGTAGTCGACTGGGGAGAGGGAGGAGCGCGAGGCGAACGTAGAGGCAAGGACGATGCAGGGGCCGCAGGGAGGGAGGGGCCTAGAGGAGAAGTGGAGGGCGACGGAAAGGAACGATAAGGAAGGGGCGAAGGATGAGAACGGGGAGGAGGAGGAGGAGGAGGCGGCGGCAGCAGGGTGGCACGAGGAGGGACGGGGGAGGTATGAGGAGGGATGTTGGGGAGGAGGAGGAGGAGGAGGAGGAGGAGGAGGAGGAGGAGGACGTGGAGGAGGACGTGGAGGGAAGGGGGACGAGGAGGGAGGAGAACGACGAGGAGGAGGAGGAGGAGGAGGAGGACGACGACGACGAGGCCAAGTACGACGACAAAGAAGAGCAGGAGGAGGAGGAGAGGGGGGAGATTAGGGAGAGTATGCAGCAGGAGGAGAATGCGGCAGAGAAGGACGTTGCGGAGAAAGCGGAGGAGGAGAGTACGGAAAGCGGAGGAGAGGAGGGTGTGACGAGGAGCAAGAGAAGCCGCAGAAACAGGGACAGGAATCGGAGGGGGAGGAAGAGGCGAGAGAGGAGCAGCAGGACCAGGATTAGGAGAAAGAGACGGATCAGGGTGGGGGGACTGGATAGGAGGAGAGGGGTGGGAATGGGAGAGGGAAGGTGCTTCCGCCTCTCCGATGTCCCCCAGTTTCTCTCGTAGTCTCGCCCTGTTCCTCCGTATCTTGTCCTCTCGGATGGGAACGTCGTTTGATGTTCGTCCCCGTGCACCTCCGAGCAGCAGGCCCACATCCTCAAGAGGTACGGGCTTGGCTACCTCCGAATGGACGGTCAGACTGCCACCAAGAGCCGCGACGACATAGTGCGGAGGCCGACGGCGCCAGATCGTGTGGGAGGGAAGTTTCCACCGTCTCGCATCTATGATTCCGCCTCCGCGATCTTCTGTATCGTTTTGTTGATCGTTCCTCGTCTCGCGCCTGCTTCTCTCGTATCGTCCTCGTCCTCCTCCTCCTCCTCCTCCTCTTCCTCCCCATCCTCATTCTCATGATCATCCCCCACCTCCTCTCCTCCCATCCTGCCCTGCGGCGGCGGAGCAGTGGAGGTGGAGAGCACAGCAGCGAATCCCGAGATCACTATTAGAGACCAGGTGTATGTCTCTATCTCGCCTCCATATGCGGCATTATCCTCATTGTTGCCGTCATCCTGCTCCTCTCTTTTCTCATCGTCCTCAGCCCCCCTCCCCATCAATATCACGGCATTATCCTCGTTCCTCCTCCTCCTCCAGGAGCCATCCTCCCCCCCCCAGCGCGGTGGGGAGAAGAGGAAGATGAGAGAGTCCGAAAAGGAGTAAGAGAAGAAGGAGGAGAGGGAGAGAGGGAGAGAGGGGGAGAGAGAGAGAGAAGATGATAAGAGAGGGAGAGAGAGGGGATAGAGGGAGAGAGAGAGACTGAGAGACAGAGAGAGAGGGAGGAGGGAGGAGGGAGGAGGGAGCCTCCCGCAAGCTGCTTCTACCCGCATAACAGAACAACCTTGCTACAGGCGCCGAAGCTGGCTGCAATGTCCAGTAGAGAGTTGGTTACATACGGCATGTGATTGCATTCTCGCCTCACGCAACGACATGTAGCTCCTTGTCCTGGGTCACATGACTCCCCCATTCCACAATTCGGTTGCGCAAGGTTTGGTAGCTGTTGCAGTCCTCTGGCTGAGATCCGGAGGCTCAGGATGTTTTTGGGAATTGCAGGTTCAAGTGGTTGTTAAGCGCCTGTGTTCGCGCGGGTCTGACTACACCAATCGGCCGATGCAGTCATTGGTTACCGTTGGTCAGAATGTTTGGATATGTGAGTGGGAGGTTGTCTTTACCAAGGCCGTTTTACGTAGATCATGTGGGGGCGAATCTGCTCAACCTGTGGGCAGAGGTCCAAGATATCCTGGACGGTGTACCCCAACAGCGAGCTACCAGGCGGGCGCAGAGGCACTTATAGTGTCGCGCCAAGGCCGCACAGACGTGGGGTATTGTCCCCAAAGTGGGAGTTGCCCTTGCCTCTGACGTTCGACGATCGGTGAAGACAGCAGTCGGCCCAAATTAATGGTTCTGGTCGTCACGTCGGGATCCCATTGGCTTGTCGCCCACAGATGTGTATGGCCGCATGCTTGTCGCACCTTCATTCACCAACCGTTCCTGGTACCAATCGCATCGGCATGTCCGACTACGCCAGAGCACTTTCATGTCGCCCCTCTGGGTCTCTGCTGGGTTGTCGACCATGGCTCCAAGCTCCGAATTGTTCAATCCAAAGTTGGTCAGTATGAGTTGCTGGCCGGCTGCATTCTCGCGAGCTGATGTTGGTGGGCCAATTTTGCAGTTTGCGTGTTCAAGATGTGTGTGAATGCCAGGAGGAGGAGGAGGAGGTATGTTGAAGTAGTCCATTCTTGTTGGCCGCCTCGACATCGCAGCAGTTGGAGTGCGATGTCCCGTATTCATGTTTACGCCACTGGTGTTTTGATCTGCAAAGATTCGTCTGCGAACTTTCTCACCAACACCCCAGGGAGGTATGTGCCAGGATGACTGTGCCCACACGTCGGGTTTGCCTACTTGTGGCCAGAGCAAGTGACACGCGCGTCAGATCAGAATCGGATGGCTCCTGGACGGTCTGGCTTGTCGACAAGCTCGTTCAGATTGCCTTTCGGCGGATTCCAAAGCTGAAGCCGAGCCCTACGCCGCCCCATTGCTTCAATTGTAGCTGTGCGAAGCCTTACGTTGATGGAGCGCATGTTCCTGGCAAGCCGATCGTGAGTTGTATCATTTGTTGGCCAACGTTGAGCGTGACAGGGAGCGCAGCACTGTGTCAGTTTCTCGTTCCCGCTCTTGCCGATGTCATCTCGGAGGTAACCCAGACAATTGCAATGCGCAGTCCGACGTGGTGATGGTCGACGGTACCTTGTCTGTGGTCACATTCGAGTTGTAGAATCGGCCCAAAGTTTACCAAAGCAGATTGCGTTTCGGGGTTCTTGTTTCGCTTCGTCACTAACTAGATGTGTGTTCCGGAGTTTCACCTGTTGGGCGCCCATGGGCGCCCCGTGTGTTGGGTGGGTGTGCCAAGATTTCTTCAGGTGGGCGCCCGTGGCGTCGGTGCCCCTGGCGCTGGGTGGGTGTGTCGGGGCTTCGCCTGGTGGGCGCCTCGTGGGCGCCCTGTGCACTGCATCAAACAGTTTGCGCCACATAGCTTGCACCACATACTTTGCTCCGTGTAGCTTGCATTGTGTAGCTCACACCGCGTAGATTGCACTGCATGTATTCCCATTGCACCACATAGACAGCGCCACAGCTTTCACGTCCAGATTTAATAGCTCACTGCTTCGGTCCACGCTGGCACCATGTGTTGAGAGATGCCTTCCACCAGCATTTTTTGTCTGAGGAGTCCGCAGCAATGATGCACACACGCACTCTCCGCCTAAAATCCTAAAATCCGACTAAGATTGTGTTCGAGAGTGCTGGTTGGGACGTCTCGGATTGCCCGTCGACGTAGTCATAGCGTCGTAATTGTAGGTTGTATGATGATGGCGTGTCGGTCATCAGGACGTTGATCTGTCGCAGTTGCATCCGGGCAGTTGTGCAATGAATAGTGCTAGTAGGCTTGCACGCTAGATTTGGATTGTTTAGTTCACAAAGTCTTACACTCGCAGTGGGACATAGAAGTAGCGTGTATCCAGATCCAGTTGCATCGTCCATAGTAATAGCTGCAAGCTCGCTTCGGAATTGAATCAGCTCAGTGTTGTGACAACAATGCTCCCATACACTAGCAGCTTGCCGCCACACCATTACAGCGAACACTTCCCGAATTCTCTTGCAACACGAGTTTGTAGTTTCAGGGCGTGGTTGATCTCCGAGACGTCCGCCTGAGCCGTCACTACAGGCTACTTGTCCTGGCTCCAGAGGACTGGCCGCCAGGCGGCGTGCCGCAAGCGGCAGCTCGGAGCTCAGGTTCGAACTCGCGTGTCTGAGTGGTTAGAGCAAGCATTATGTAGAGGGCACCCCCCCGCCAGTCGGCCCTGCCTCACACGGGCGCTGGTTTATCCGAACAGCACGTGGCCTCCGCCAGCGCAGGGGTTCCACATCCTACAGGTGGAGAGAAGAAGCAGCAGGAGGACGAGATTACGCGGAAAGACGTTTCCCCCCCCCCCCCCCCCCTCTCCGTACTCCTTTCTCTCCTTTTCCCTCTCCCCTCCTCCTTTCTCCCTTCTCCCTCCTTGGTACCTCCTCTTTCTTCCGTCCTCCATCCTCCCCCCTCCGTTTCTCCATTATTCCTTCCTCTCTTCTCATCTTACTACCTCCTCCCTCTCTCCCTCCCGTCTTCCGGCTCGCCTCCTCCATCCCTCCTTACTCACTCTTCGCTCCCTCTCTTCCCTAGCTGATTCCTCCCTCTTCCCTCCTCCCCCTCCCTTTCTTACTACGTATTGCCTCCCTCCCACCTCCCCCCTTCTGGCCTCCCCCCGCTCGAACCTGCCAACTTGCGAAGAAGAATCTGGAGGAGCAGGTATTGGCAGCATGCCTGAAGTGCTCCTACATTTCCAGCCTTTGACTCTCATATTATTATTGTCCATCCTGTCTCCAATCATCATCACCATGGTCATTTCATGATTGCCAACATCGCCTTCATCGTCATACATATCGTTTCCTTCACACTGATCCTCCTGATCATGAGAAACCTCATAACATGAAACGGCAGCATCGTCGTGATCGTCGTCCTTCTCCTCCTCCTCTTTGTCCTCCTCCTCCTTGTCCACCTCCTCCTCATCCTCCTCAGCCCCCTCCTTCTCGTCCTGGTCCTTCTCCTGCTCCACCTCCTGCTCCTCTGCCCCCGCCTACGCCTCCAAGCTTCCCCTGCTCATCCTACGAATCCTTCCCTCCAGCGTGCGGAAGGTTCGAATCGGAGACGGACCGCTTTGCGTTCATGCTCCTCACGACAGGCGTCGGGGGTACGGGCCTGAACCTCACCAGCGCAGATAGGGTCGTCATCATCGACCCGGCCTGGAACCCAGCGACAGACGCCCAGGCACGGTGCCCGCCCACCGTCGCTTGCAGTCTCGAGCAGGAGATCGGGCACAGAGGGGAATCGACTTCGCACAGTTGGAGTGCCCTGGCAGGTCAGCGCTTCAAGATCAGGGCCATTCGTATGTCCTATCAAGCCCCCTCCACGTTTTCTGTGTTCACTCTTTGCTGTCCCCCAGAATTGTCTTGGGTACCTTCGGGTGTTCTCTCGTACGTGCTCCGACTGTATGCGCAAGCTTGCTCCTCCACAGCGCTCGCGCCTCGAAAGGCTGTCGTCGGGTCTGCGCTTGGGGCGTGTCTGGCGGGACATTGACTAGCCCTGGGGCTCCGAGGAGACGGGGAAGGGAATAGATGGTGCAGTAGTTGCTGTCGAGCAGTCGCGCTGGCTGAAAAGTGCGATAGGGGAATGGGGTCATACCCAGAGCACAGAGCAAGCGTTCCAGAAATCGACACCCGTACTTACTGCGACTCGCTGGACGCATTCTCATTAAATTCAAACCTAATCGTCGCGACAGGGGGACCACTGCGGCGGCTTTCGCGCAAGGGTCTCTGACTCGCAGTCCTGAAAGTGTGCTGGGGTTCATCGAAGCTTTGCTGCAAGCTCCCAAAGGCCTCTGTTTACAGCTTCGTCAGTTTTCATTAACCCTCCACCCCCCGATCCTTCTCCTGCCGGCAGCTTTGCTTAGCGACTCTCAACGCCAGCCCTCCCTCTGCATTCCGTGATGCGGCTGGGTCTTATTGCATGACATTTTTGTTACGGCATGTTCTGATATTCATGCTTGTCGATGTGCGTATGATGTGAGTGGTAGATGGCTTGCGACTTTTATCTGTCATGCGTGCCTCTATGCGCATGATCATGCTGTGAGTATGCGCTTGCGAGTGTGTGTGTGTGTGTTATGCTGCGCGCTTTGATCATGCGTATCTCGTGAGCTGCCGACTGCAGCCCATCGGCACGCTGGAGGAAAATGCGTGTGCGTGCGCGTGCAAATCTGCGCACGCTCGTACATTACATATGCCGATCGTGGCGAAAGAAGGTTACCAGATACAAGGGCGTACGTGGGCACACAGTTCGTGTACACCTGCACCGAGCGCCTTATATGCATGCACGCGGCCACGTTTTTTCAGATTCATTCCTTTGTTGGGTGGGTTTTTCCCTCTGCTGCTCCTGCTGCTGGTAGTGCTGCTCATTCCCCTTATCCTCCACCCATCAGGGCGGGGAGTGAGCATCTGGCAAAGCTGGCACAGGGCAGTCGATCCCGGCCGTCACGGAATACGGCCGCCGGTGCGGGCTGCGGCGACGTCGCCTAAGCCACGGGAGGAGCGCGCAGAGACATTGTCGGCGACGATATCCCTTTCTGCTCGCTGGGGTCACGCACGAGGCAGTGGACCGGGCCTTCCGCATCGGCCAGACGCGCGAGGTGCGGGTGTACAGGCTCATCATGAGCGGCCTGGTCGAGGACAAAATGTTCCGGCTGCAGGCGACGCTTCGCCAGCCCCATCCTCCTCTGACACCCAGGCGCCGTGAAACATCTCGACGGTGCTTTTCCGGGCCCTGGGACCCTTGCGGATCGGTCCTGCTGGAGAAACCTTGGATGTTCTGGCCTTTGTAGGACTCGCCCGCCTCCTTGTGGTGTGAGAGGTCAGCTTGGAGCCGTTCAGGCAGCGAAAAAAGTCTGGGGGCTCGGGGGCGCCCACCTTCCTCATTCGGACAGTCGTCACACACACACACACACACACACCCGCACACACGTGGACGTAGGGCCCATCGCACGTCCGAGTGTTTGGCGGTGTCCACAGGGACCCTCAGAGTTGCCTGCCGTCGCCACCATCCTCCTGTCCATCTGCCCTTCTCATACGGAGAAGCGCGTGTGATCTTCTTCCCCTCAGCCCCCCCGCTCCCATGGTTGTTCTTGTGGTCGGCGGTGTTCGAGTTGCCACGCATACGTTGTGGTAAAGTGCACATAACAATCTTCATTGAGGTCGCAATGCCGCGCGTGTTCACCAGAGCATGTTTGGTGTGGCCCATGTTGCCTGCAAACAAGTCTTCACCTGCCAGTGGCCGTCTGCGCACCTACGCCGTTCAATGTTCTCAACAGTGCAGGGCTTGCTGGTCCGTTCCCTTCAATAACTTGTGATAGTGACGTACAGATTTAGTTCGGCCACAACACTGGTGGTTCACTAGTTTACGCCGCACCTTCAACTCATCGGGAGCCCTGGATGCTTCTCTTTCGAGGGACGTTGTCGTAGAACTGTGTTGGCGTCGTGCGCCCATCCGGGAAACCCCAAGTTTTCAAAAAGGACCATGGTGGGTCGTTTTGGGGCCTCGCGGGGGCCACTGATGGCTCTCGTGGAGGCATGTTTGGGGTCACGGGGTCCATTTTGCTGCGAGTGCTGTCGTATCGACTTTGCTCGGTCGGAACACTGGTGACAACGAGTTCTGCTACCAGGTAGCCAGGTTCCTCTCAGGTGGCGGGGGAGTCATCCGCAGTCTGCGAGGCTCGAAAACACATTTGAAGAAGCCCGCCGCAAGCGTCGATTTTGTACATTACACACCGAGTTCGCGACAGGCGCCATTTTTCCTCAAAGATATGTGGACAGGTCGCGGGTCGGTCGCAAGTGGGTCGTTGGTGGGTCGTGGGTGTGTCGCGGGCTGGTCGCGGGTGGGTCGCGGGTGGGTCGCGGGCGAGTCGCGGATGGGTCGCGGGCGAGTCGCGGGTGGGTCTTGGGCGATTTGGGTGAGGACACCGAGCAAAAATAATATCGACGACTATTTTACCAGCATGTTCAATGCTTACTCATGGCACATACACCCATCATGATAGCCCCCCTTTCATGAGGGAATTGCTTCATGCATCGTGGCGGCGACACTCCCCTATGTACCCTGAGCTCCCGCCCGGAAATGTATACTGTATTGCCAACACCTCTTACGAGGGGCTTCAGCAACGCCTTCAATTTAGACTGCGCACGGCCGTCCAACATCGTTGATCGAGGACCCAGCGTCGAAGATCGAGGATCGGGGCCTGGGCAACCATGTTGACGACGACGACGACCGATACCATATGCAAGCCGCCCGAAGCCTCCAGAAGTCCCCAAAGGCCCACCCCGCCTGGACTTCTGGGAACCCCGCGGGCTCATCCGAAAGCCCTCCGAAGTTCAGAAAGGACTACCAACTCTTCAGAAACCTATTATACAGTCAACCCGCATAGTAAGGACGAGCCACTCCAATGTTACCCCTGCATCCTTCCCCTTCGGCCCATCCTTAGCGACTTTCGCTGGCCAGCCTCGTTCGAAACACGCTAACATGGCCCTCGATGGCCGTTACATCCTTTCCGCACATCCTTATGATGCGAATCGATGGTATTCCCGAAAGTCGACCCTTGGTCGATGCGCGACGACGATGCGACGAAGACGACCAAAGGAGGGAAGGCCTGCCCTCGTGCCCCAGGATGCCCTCAGAAGTGGAATTCTGGGCGAGGGGGCGGCGCCCCCCCCAGAAGGAATCAGGATCCTGGCGGGCCGGGGTCCAGGGCGAAAGCACCGGTCCCGAGTGAATGCGAGGCTCGAGCGGGAGCGTTGACTTCTCACCCTTGAAGAAGAATGGCTGCTGATCCCCACCGGGCGGGCCGGGCTGGACACTGAAGTGGGCGGGCGGGCTTCGAAGCAGTCGACCTTGACGGGCGGATCGGGCGGGCGGGCTCCAACGGGGTGATCGGGCGGGCGGGCCCTAATAGGCTGGTCGGGCGGGCGGGGCATTGAAGCGAATTTTGTAGCTTGTAAAGGAGCCTCAGGCGAAAGCACGAGTCCTTAGTAGACTGTGTGGAGGCCTCATCGCGCGAGAGCGTGATTCCTGGACTCCGAGAGCAAAGTGCCTTAGGAATTTGCAAGGATGTCCTCGGCGACAGCGCGATTCCTGAGTAAATTGTTAGGAAGGGTCGATCGAGAGCGCGATGTTCAATACGTTGCCAGGAAATATCAGGCGGGAGTCTTGTTATGGCAGTCCAGGGGCCAACAACGCAGTTCGAGGCTCAAGACTCCCCGTGAGAGGGCAACGCAATGTAAGGCTCGAGAAACGGGGTGCGATCCCCAGAGAGGGCACCTTAATTTAGTCACTCCGACGCCCGCGGGCCAGGCCGGTGGGGTACACCCTCGCGCCACTGGGACTCGGGAGCAAACCGTTCGGATGACGTTGCGGGCTTCGAGCGGGGCGCCGCTGTGCTCAGGCGCGAGGCAGCGCGAACCCCGCAGCGCGAACCCCAGCTCCGCCGCCAGCTGGTCCGGCTCTGCTGAGTTTTCCACTTTTCTGTGAATTTGTGGAACGCCTCCCGCAGGGACGCCGGCGGTCTTCGTTCCATTGATTCTCGCGTGGGCGGCCGCAGGATCAGCATATTTCGCATGCGCGTGGCGCGGGAGAACATGACGTAGACATGCAGCCACCGCTGGTCGTCCGACGTGCCCGCGCGGCCACGGTCTTCGTCCCTGGTGCAGTCGATGTCGACGCCCTTGCACAGCGTCTGGCCCTGCGACGGCGTGGGGTGAGGTATGACGTGCGCGTCGGGGTGAACCCCGAGCGGCGCACGGCGTGCGGCCCTACTGCTGAGCCTGAGCAAGACCGCGTTCCGTGCCCGCCCTTCAGGTTGGCCGTCGTCGCCAGCGCCTTCGGCATTTTGTAGCAACAGTTCGGCGACCCTTGAAGCCGCGCGCCTGCATCCTGATCCCCTGCGGTATGCCGCTGGGGCGAACGAGTTGCCCCAGCGCGCGCTCCTCGTATTGCTGCTCGTTCCCTGGGTGGAGCCCGAAGGACACGATGGTGGCCCGCTGCTCCTGCACAAGCCCAAATGTCTGTTTCAGTTCCGTTTGCGCGGCCGTGAACCGAACCGCCACTTTCTCATGCGGGGCCCACCAGATGAAGGTTCCATGTCGAGCTTGTTCATATGCACTTACAGACGAGCCCCCCACTTGGGACAATCACGCGATTTGCCCCCGTGGGGTGCTCAAGTGTTACGCCCGCTGCTCTATGCCGACGGCCGTTTGATACGGGTCACATCAAGCGGTGGCCCATACGGATTGGGTTTCTGTTTGAGACTTCTTCGCTGAAACCGGACCGCTGAAATAAGGAACGCTGGATAAGGGGATCATCCATGGAAGGATTTCGGAAACATGGAGCCCGTTCCGAACCCAAGCTGTTCTCTATTTTGACGACCTCGCTGTATTCATTCTGGGGCGTTGCCCCTGGAAGCATCCTCACGATTTGCCCCTCGGGGTGCTCGAGTACGATGCCTCCCTCCTCCTTCAGTATGCTGGTGGCTGTCTCGGATAATGCATAATGAGCCACATCGTGGGGGAGGTCCTGCTCGAGGCTTCTCCGCTCTTCAGTCACAGCGCCCTCGTTCGAGACACCTTCACGATTTTCCCCCATTGGGACTCTCAAGCGCTACGCCTGCTATCGTATGCCGGTGACCGCTTCGGATTCCAAACGTCACGCGGAACGGGTCCCCCTGTAGATGCGGGCTCCCGGTCGAGACAGATTCGCTTTTCACTCATAAACGAGGCCCTTGCTCCAAGCCTTTCCCTGAGAGGTGTGGGCCCCAAAAGGAGGGGTGTCCCGCTCGACTCTTCCTCGCGATCCATTGGCAGACGACGGCCCTATAATATGAGTGCGTGGGTGAGTGCGGGCTGTGAGACGTGTGTGTGTGTGTGTGTGTGTGTGCGTGCATTCGGGAGTGTGTGCGTGAATGCGTGGGCGAGCGTGTGCGATTTTGATGGTGATGTTGGTACCTACGATGCCGGATGATCACGTTGCGATTGTGGTATCGGTGATGGTGGTGATGGTGGTGGTGACCGTAAAACGGGGAGAGGAGGAGAGGGGAATGAGGTTCTCTTCTGCGCGGCAGGGACAACAAGAACCCTCAATTAGGAAATGGGGGGCATGCAACGGACACCAGGCGGGGAGGTTATGAACAACAAGTAGTGTTCACACATGAGAATGTTACTGGAACCTGCATCGCGAAACTGTACTGGACGTAGGGACGGTGGGGACCGTTCGGCCGCATCACTAGTCGGATGCACTCTTTAAATCGATCGGAGGTTGGGGGGTGGGATCGAATGATTACCCCCCTCCCGCCCGTCAGGCGGTGGCCCGCGGTGTCCTGCGGTGTCCCGTGGTGTCCCGTGGTGCCCCGTGGTGTCCCGTGGTGTCCGCCGTTGCTAGGGCGAAGTCAAGACAACTGATTATCCCCCTCCCGCCCGTCCGGCGGTGGCTCGCAGTGTCCCGCGGTGTCCCGTGGTGTCCCGTGGTGTCCGCCGTTACTAGGGCGAGGTCAAGACAAATGCTTCTCCCCCGCCCTTCCGTCCGTCCGCTGTCCGGCGGTGGCTCGCGGTGTCCTGTGGTGTCCCGTGGTGCCCCGTGGTGTCCCGTTGAGTGAGATCGATAGTGAGATCGGTAGTGAGGATGATAGTGAGATCGATATTGAGATCGATG